AATGAGGACAATCATAGTGGTGCTGTGAGGGTGAAAGAAAATACTACATGGAAAGTGCTTTGGAAAACCTTTGGCACAGGGCTGCACACAGAGCTGTGGTCTCTGGAGATGATGCTGCATTATTATTAATTCACACAGCAGTTACACCACTGCTTCTCAAAGGGGAATGAACTGGGACAGATCAAGCAGCCTTGATGGAGAAAGAGGCAGAATCAATCCCTCCAGTGAAAGAGGGAGAAGGCCTATGTTCAGAACTTCTCACAGAATTGCTGAACCCCATTTCAGAGAGTTGTTTACTCTCTGTTTGCTCCATCATAGGGTGGTTTTTCTTTATTTTTATTTTTTAGGGTGTTTTTTTCATTAATTTTTATTGGACTATGGTTGCTTTACAATGTTGTGTTAGCCTCCACTGCACAACAAAATAAATCAGCCATACACATACAGATATCCCCTCCCTTTTGGACTTCCCTCCCGTTTAGGTCACCACAGTGCATTAGGTAGAGTTCCCTGTGCTATACAGTATGTTCCCATCAGTTGTCTATTTTATACATAGTAACAATAATGTATATGTGTCAGTCCCAGTCTCCCAATTCCTCCCACTCCACCCCTTTCCCCCTTTGTGTCCATACATTTGTTCTCTACCTCTGTGTCTCTATTTCCGCTTTGCAAATAAGATCATCTATACCATTTTTCTAGATTCCACATATATGCGTTATTATACAATATTTGCTTTTCTCTTTCTGACTTACTTCACTCTGTATGACACTCTCTAGGTCCATCCACGTCTCTACAAATGATTAGGATGTTGTTTGTTTGTTTAATTCCCCTGCAACTCTTGTCCATGTACCAGAGACCTCAGAGATCCTTTCATGGAAGCCAGACCCAGTTGAGTAGCTGCCAACCTTCCTCCCAAAGGATAGAGGACAGAGAGACAGGCTGTTAGATGTCGCCCGTGCTGGAGATCAGTGAGGCTGTCCTTGGCATCTAAATCTGGATAAGCAGCTTAATTTTATCTCTCCCTGCACCGATGCATCTTGCCTTAGGGAGCCAAGCATCCTGGGAGAGAATAAGTGATGGGGAGACTCTGCCCTTTTGTGTTTCCTTTTGCTCCTGCATATGCACTATCTTTGCCTCAAAATTGTGCCAGCCTGGATTGTTTTGATGCCTTACATCTTTGCGATAACATCTCATGCTGAGAGATCTAGGAGCAATAGGGAACAAGAAAGTGGGCAGAAAAAAGAAGCCTCGCTAGTTCTGATGGGTGAGGAGGGTTGCCAGAGTGGCCTGCAGTTGATACCCTTTCAAGGCAGATCAGAGTTGCACTCCTCTCTCCCCATAGCCATCCGCCTTATCCAGTGTCTGGCATTCCCCAGAACCAAGTACAGCAGTTGGGCTCATGACTCCACACTAGAGTCTCAAATCTAAATGCCTCCTCAGGCAAGGTCAGTAGAATAAACTTGTGAAGGGCATACAATAGGGAATAGTGAGGACTCTGGCAAACGGAGCATATGTCTTATCTAAAGGGGGCAGCCACCCCATGGCTGCCTCCAGTGGGCCCAGTGTTACTAGAGCTTCTGATTTTTTTCAAGAGAAAATAGAAATATGATGTGTGTGAGTGAGAGAGAGAAATGTCCCAATTTTTTTATTGAAGTGTAGTTGATTTACAATGTTGTGTTAGCTTCCGCTGTACAGCAAAGTGATTCAGTTATACATATATATATTCTTTTTCAATTCTTTTTCATTATGTATAGTAGTTTGTATCTGCTAATCCCAAACTCCTAATTTATCTCTCCCCACCCCCCTTTCCCCTTTGGTAACCATAGTTTGTTTTCTATGTCTGTGAGTCTGTTTCTGCCTTGTAAATAAGTTCATTTGTATCATATTTTAGACTCCACATGTAAGTGATACCATATATTTATCTTTGTCTGTCTGACTTACTTCACTTGGTATGATAATCTTTAGGTCCATCCATATTGCTGCAAATGGCATTATTTCATTCTTTTTATAGCTGAGTAATATTACATTTTATATATATTATATATATATATATTTATAGCTGAGTAATATTACATTTTATGTATATATACATTTTATATATTTTTATATAAATATATTTACTTTATATATATATATACATTTTATATATATATATATTACTCAGCTTTTTATAGCTGAGTAATATTACATTTTATATATATATATGTTATGTATATGTGTGTATGTGTGTGTGTGTGTGTGTGTATATATATATATATATATATATATATATAAACATACCACATCTTCTTTATCCATTCATCTGTCGATGGATATTTAGGTTGCTTCCATGTCTTAGCTGTTGTAAATAGTGCTGCTATGAATATTGGGGTGCATGTATCTTTTCGGATTAGTGTTTTCTCCAGATATATGCCCAGGAGTGGATCATATGGTGACTCTTTTTTTAGGTTTTTAAGGAACCCCCATACTGTTCTCCATAGTGGCTGTACCAATTTTACATTCCCGCCAACAGTGTAGGAGGGTTCCCTTTTCTCCACACCCTCTCCAGCATTTGTTATTTGTAGACTTTTTAATGATGGCCATTCTGACTGATGTGAGGTGATACCTCATTGTAGTTTTTTCCCAGTTTTTAACACACTGGGAGGGCTGAATGAACAGAGTTGCATGTGGGATGTTGCAGTATGCTGCAGGGAGGATTCTATCCTCAGGTTGTGAGATTGGCATTTCTGACCTGGTCTCTTTACTGATAATTCGGTATTTCCTAGCAAGATGATGCCCTCAAAAGGCCCTGAACATCAAGCTTTGGAACAAATCATCTACCACATACTTCATCTTTCTTTTTAAACAAGAGAACCAAAAAATGTGTGTGTGTGAAGGGTTCATTCCTGACCTGTGGGGACTTAGCCCTGTTGGATCCTCTCGCTGTTCTCCCTGTTTCTCTGTTCCATAGCATCCTCCTTGAAATACCCCCCAAATAGAGTGGTTTTGACTAAAATTTAATATACAAAGCACAGTAAATTGTTGGGGGAAATTGCTACAAAGGGGATAGACAGATGGGTGGGGTAGATGAGGCATTCATAAAGAAGAAACTAAACCCTCCAGAGACCTAGAGTACCATAACTGCATCCAGCATGCACCTTGGAAACGTGTAACCTTGAACAAGCCCACCAAACTCTCAGCCTCAGTTTCCTCAACTGTAACGTGCAAGGCTGGCTCTGCCCATCTGCCCAGGTTACTGTGAGAATAAAAGGATGCCGGGAAAGCACGCTGGAAAACATGAAAAGTGTTCTAGCAACGTGAGCTTTTTTTGCCACTGGGAGGCAGGAGGACATCTGTGTGAACCCTTGGGACCCTGACCGTCATTAGCCAGATTGAACGTCAGTTCTTCCTCTTGTCACTGCCACAGCTGCCTGCCTCGCAGGACGGGCCTGCAGCAAGGGAGTGGGGGCATGGGCCATTGAGCTCCCATGGCAGCCCCTCCGTTACCAGCTCCAGTCCCCTGGACCCTGGCATCAAGAGCCTCCAGAGGCAAGCCAGCCATGATGCATCCCATGGGTCCCTCCCCATGAGGGAAGCTCTGAGCCAGCATTGATAAGAGAAATTTTTTAAATTCCAGCTTTTTGCTGGTTAGTTTAGTAACCCCCTCACTTTCATTCAAGAGTGGGTGAGCAGTGATTTTACACGAGGTTCAAGGGCACAGCTAGTCAGTCTAGGATCATAAAGGACATTTGTAGGACCCAAAGTGCTTGCCTTGCCAGCCTCATTCTGGAAAACACTTCCATCACCTTAGGATGGACCAGCATTTCACCAGAAGCACAGCTTCCTTTTATGCGTTTTCGGTTGTTTTTTTTTTTTTGGTTTTGGTTGGCCTGGGTGGGTCTGAAGAACTAAAACCGTGGCAGAACGGGGTCGCTCATGGATAGGAAGGCTGACCCTGGGGGATAGGTGTCACCTTAGAAGAGAGTGACCCCCTGGACTTGCACATGGAGTTGAGTGTATTTCTTAATAAATGCTTGTGCTAAGCACCGGGAATAAAGGGAGGAATAAAATAATGTCATCTGTGCCATCATAGAACTTACCGTCTTCTATGGGTGGGAGGCAAACGATAAACAAGAAAACAAACAAATATCCTCTAACCATAAATTGAGAGAAGTGCTACGAAGGAAATAAATAGGGGGCTATGAGAGACAATAGTAGGGGTCGTACTGGAGATGAGGGGGTCAGGGCAGGCCTCTCTGAGGAGCTGACATTTGGGCTCAGATACAGAGGAGGAAAAGGAACCACCTTATGAAAGGGGTTAAGAGAGTGTTCAGAACATGCGTGGTGTATTTGCGGAATCACACAGGACTCCATCCATGTGTGTGTTTGTGTTTCTGTGTGTGTCTGTGTTTCTGTGTGTGTGTGTGAGAGAGAGAAAGGACGTGTATGTGTGTGTGTGTTTCTGTGTGTGTGTGAGAGAGAGAGAAAGGACGTGTATGTGTGTGTGTGTTTCTGTGTGTGTGTGAGAGAGAGAAAGGATGTGTATGTGTGTGTACACATGCCTACCCACGGCTGTATTTTTTCTGGGACGATGACCTATAACTTTCATCAGTTTTCCAGTGGGATCAGTGATCCAAAAGAACTCTAAGGAATTTTCTGAATCAAAATTACCCTTAGTCAGTCAGCTAAAGCATCAAAATAATTGTGCCAAATGATTTTTTTTTTTTTTTTTTTTTTGAGTCCTGGAAGCTCTGCATGCTAAAGCAGAAAGTGGAGCACACAGGGTGCCATTTCGGGTCTCCCTCCGAGAGCATGGGTGCAGGGAAAGCCTCCAAGTGATCAGTGTGCAACACAGCATCCGTGGTGACTGGGTGCATGAGTGCCCGGACGTGTTCGGAGGTTCGGTGGCCACAGGCATGCAAGTCCCTCTCTTTCTCTGCTGAGGGCGGGAGCCCCTGCTGTAAGGAGAGCACTGCAGGTCATCACAAGGATTAGTGAGTCACCAGCCTCTCTCCTGCCTGCAGGCTCCTCAATGCCAACAAGATCAACTGCCTGCGGGTGAACACGTTTCAGGACCTGCAGAACCTCAACCTGCTCTCCCTATACGACAACAAGCTTCAGACCATCAGCAAGGGGCTCTTTGCTCCTCTGCAGGCCATCCAGACGCTGTGAGTATGCCACCTCGAGTGCCAGCGCGTGCCCAGGCAGCCAGCAACCCCAAACACGTAGTCGCAGAGAACATTCAAAATGAAGGCAGAGTGAGCACGTCCAGGGGGAATCCTGGAGCCTGCAGCGAGAACGGGATATTAATAATAGCACTAGCTTGGGACCTCCCTGGCGGTCCAGTGGTTAAGAATCTGCGCTTTTAATGCAGGGGGCCTGGGTTTGATCCCTGGTCAGGGAACTACCATTTCCACATGCTGCATGGCTTGCCCAAGAAAAAACTATTTTTTTTTTTTAATCATAATAGGGCTAGCTCACCTGTACTAAGCACTCACACCATGCTCGGCACCCCACTGGATGATTTCCCTGTATCCAAACAGTTAAGCCTCACAACAGCCCTAGGAGGTAGGTGCTTTTGTGATCCCCCATTTCTACGTGAGGAAACCAGAGGCACAGAGAAGTTAAGAAACTCATTCAAGGTTGCACAACTAGTAAGAAGCAGGATTTGAATCCAGGCCGAGTGGCTGCTCACCTGCTCTTTCAACCACTGTGGCCACTGTATTCTGAGCAGGCTCCATCTCTGCTGATAACCCATTCCTGCCCACCAACACCCACAAAACCAAGCCTCTGGTACAGGCACACCGTACCAGAATACAGGAGTATTTCACCACCCTCGCTAGGGAACAGTTCCTCAGTCCCAGGCACTGCGGACGTTCATAAATAGTTCCGTTAGATAGATGACACCTGAGTACAGGTCTCAGCCCGTGTTTTTGATGGCTCCACCCCTAAGCTTAGACCCTAGCTCCAGCCCCAGGCCTGACCATGAGCCTGGGGGCTTCTGGAGCCCTTCTGAGTCATCTGGCACTTACTGCCCCTGTAGCCAGAGACGGGAGCCAGTAAAGGGTAAGAGCAGCTGCTACACATTGAACCCCGACCACGTGCTGAGCACTGAGTGTGGTGCTTTGGACAGTTTTCTCACTGAGCCGGGGGAAGCCAGGCCCATGGTGCTGTTGCCCTTGTGATGCTGAGGATGGTAAGAACAAAACCCGCTACTATAAATGGAACACCCACCCTGTGCCCGACACCATGCCAGCTGCTTTATGTACCGGGTGTTCCTGAGCTTGGAGAAATAAAATTCAGTCTGCTCTCAGCATAAACCCTAAGCCTGCAACTTTCATTGCCCTTCAAAATTGGCGTGGTTGAGATTGGAGACGATCAGGGGTGGGTCCTGACCCAGGTGGGGAGAGTAAGGAAGGCTGATTCCCCAGGCGGGATGCCGGCTGCACCTGTGACTGTCTTTTGCAGACAGCAGACCTCAGGCCCCCTCTCCGGGTCTTGTCTGAGAGCAGCTCCCACCTCCCCCGAGGCCTCCTGGGGCGATGGAGGAGGGAGCCTGGCACCAGAGCCTAACACCAGGCAGGGTGGTGGCAGAACGTGGCACCAGGGGTCCCATCTGATTAACTCCCGTCCCTCTCGCAGCCACTTAGCCCAAAACCCATTTGTGTGCGACTGCCACTTGAAGTGGCTGGCCGACTACCTTCAGGACAACCCCATCGAGACCAGCGGGGCCCGCTGCAGCAGCCCGCGCCGGCTGGCCAACAAGCGCATCAGCCAGATCAAGAGCAAGAAGTTCCGCTGCTCAGGTAATCAGCTTATGGGACAGGGCCCCACCTTCCGACTCAGAGTACAGCAGCCCCGGAGAGGCCAGTAATCCAATCTGGAGGACAGCGCACGCTGTAATGGCTCCTGGGGATCATCTTTGCAAATTAAATTGGGAAAATTCAGTTAGCCCTGCAGAAAACCAATTAGCTTATGGATTTAAAATAAAACACACACACACAATAAAAGCATTGTGGGGAGGAAGGGGGGTGATTTGGGGAGAGACAGAACCCAGGCAGCAGCACGTCTCCCGAGCTAGGTGGAAACGAGGGGATGAGGCAGCCTGGACACATGCGATCTTTAGAGGCCATGATTTATTTATTTTGTATTGTGTTAGTTTCCAAATCACGCTCCGCAAGTGGCAGATAGAGAAATAAATGTACCCCAGGCCAGGTTGCAGGAAGCACGGAGCCTTGGGGGTCTCCTCTCCCGCTCTATGGCCACCTTCGGTACAGCCCTTGGACCACAGTGTATTCTAGGTTTCACAGACGTTTTTGCTCTCTCCTCCACCCCAGATGGGTGCATTCTGATCGTGGAGAGAACAGAAAAGAGTGTTGCTCAGAAAGAAAGCAAAGCCTTGCTCTCTAGTTCCCAAGCTCTCTCCAGAAACCTTCCTCCCTACCGCACCCAGAAATGAAATGGGGAGGGGGGTTGGTGAACGGCAGGGGAATTCTCAGCTCATCTTGGAAAGAGAAGTTGCTCTCCTTGATGCAAGAGCTGGATGAACAGGCAGTTAAAAATGACTATCATTTGTGTTGTTTGCTACTGGAAAAAAAAAAAATCACCAAGCTGCTTTGTGCTCCCAATGGTGAGACGCTGATAGTATGATGTAGTGAGATGGGGTGAAGCCAACCCTCACAATCTGTGTGTCAGCAGGA